CGTAAAAAATTATTGCTTCCTCTCAACGCGAGCAAAACTGCCCAACAAAACGAAGAAACCCTCACTTTCAATGCTAATGACAGGTCGATGAACGGTACAATATTGAATTACACACCTATACTGTAGTATACCACACAAAAGAAATGCGCAAACAACAAAAAGTATATGATAAATTCTTTCTTTTTAAAATATAATTTAAGAATACAGAATACAAGAATATTTTCAGGCTAAACTCGGCAGAAAAATAAGAATATTCAGCCTGGGCTGGAAAAACAACATTCTCATATGAAAAAGAGTATAGTATGGCAAAAAATTATTTCTTTTTAAACATTAATTTCAATGGCAAACATGAATCTTATGGCGTTAATATACCTTCCAATCTGTCTTTAAACTAATCCGATCTTTTAACAACAATTTTTAGGAATTATTATCACACTCTGAAAATTTCTTTATTGCAATATAAACAATCACTTAAATATAGCAACTAACGATAGATGACGTCTCGTTCGAAAGATATTATTTTGAATAAAATTGAAAAACGTTTGACCCAGCGCGCGCACAAGTGTTGAGCATGCGTACTTGGGGTAAAATGTGAGAGCACTTATTTTGTTGACTTTCATAGACAGTGAAAAGAAACGAAGATATCTCAAAATTAAAATATAAAAATTTGACGAAATTTGGCAAAATTCTTGTCAATATCGCACTTGAATGGGTACCGTGTCGGAAGCATTTTGTGGAAACGACCGAAATTGAAATTGCTGAAAACAATGGTGCAATCGGATGAGGGTAAAACCGTCGTGAATCTCGTGTTTAGAAAAGTTTAAATCGAAGGACTATCAACAACAAACACCTCATTTGTTACAAACATGCAACGTGTCGTGAGTGATAAGACGCCTGAATATCCTGACAATGAAAACCATACCTTTAAAGTACGACTACCTGCCCCCTTCCATCTGTCAGGGCATCGTTGGGAAGTGGCGCTCTATTCGCTCAGCATGCCTGCGATTAGTCACAGACATAATGCTCTATTGAGCACAAGTAAAAAACCCAAACACTTTGATTTTTGTATCCACGAAGTTGAGAGCAGTTCATTTAGGATGTCAAGGGTTTATGATACCTCAGAGTTTATTGGAGGTCGGCAGCGGTCTGGATATGATGGAAAATTTAAAACAGCATTTCGATAGCAGTGTGCAAACAGCCATTCAAACACAGCTCGCTCAATATTATGGACAAGATGCCCAAAGTGTCACCGCTCGTTGGGAAGGCCATTATTTTGTGGTGGGGAGAAAAGCCCTCCAGGATTTCAAGAATTGTCCTATCCGATTTTATATTGCCGTTGATATGGCACTGAACATGAAATGTTTTGTGAAAGTGGGGGATAAATATTACCCAAACCCGACCAATTTAAACTTTTGCTTACCCTACGAGCATAGTACCAAACGTTATAATGCTATCACCGGGACAGAATTTGATAGCAATAACAAAGATCTGATTCAAGTCAGTTCACATGAAAGGCTTCAATTTTCCTTGATGGTGGATTGGGTGTTTTCTAATTTGGATCCCTGTTTTGAGGAAGCAGTGACTCGTCCTTGTATTCCGACTTGGTTAAGGTGTCTCGACTGGATTTTTTTAGGGGGATACCTCCCAAGTTTGAGCATTAACTACGTCGGCATGAGTGAAGATATGGAAAAAAAGTTACCACAACTGTATTATATAATGATGTAAATTTCTTATGATCTGGGTTTTATTGCAATCGGAGTCGCCATGGCAACGTAATGACGCCATTACGTTTTTCATTTATCCTTGTGGGTTTCTCTGTACCAGGAGATTGTTTGAAGAAATCGCTTAAGGGAGTATGTACCTGCCATAATTGCCTCCATTATGGCAAAGTTTGAAAAAATTATATGAGAGCATTTTCGAAATATTTTGAAATGCAGTTTTAAGAATCATAAAAGCAGTGAAATAGCATGCTAGCCGCACAATTCGCTAATATTTTAAGAAAAAGATAAGCTTTGGGAACGCGGCTTCTTCTCATAGTGGTTTGATTCCATTGAAAACTGCATCCAAAAAAAGAGAGGAATTGCTCCGGGCGATCTCGAGTAAGAAGGATTTTATTAACTTGCATTCAGCTGCTTTTGATACAGTTTTTGGAGGTAATTTGGTCCATGCCTAAAAATTTCGCATTTTTCCAAAAACCGCTCGATAAATTTTTTTATAAACTCGACAATTCCGAGATCAATCGTCAAGAAATATTCCCTGCAAGTTTTAGGAACATTGAAAACAGGGAAGGCTTTTAAATAGGGCCTCAAATATAGCCAATTTTCCCCCCAGATTTTGTGTTTACAAGCGAGCGTCCTCATTATTCACTGGCATTGTTTTCAAGTTTCATATACACGTGCACATTTAGCAAAAAGATAAAATTTGTATCAAAAAGGCTATGGCTATCAGTATCTCCTCTTCCTTAAGACATATCAGTTCAATCTTTGCAAAGTTGCTCTTTCCAGTGGTGACAACGGATTTTCCCTAACTGGTCCATGTCTAAAATTTAAATAAAGAGACTGTGGAAGGGTCTATTGTCAAAGCTGGGCATTTAAAAAACCTAGATCGGATCGGATCAACTGCTATAACTTAGTGATTGACAAAAGGTTACGGATACGGAGTTACAAGGGTTGATCCGATTCACGTTTTGTCAACGGACGTTGCAGCTTACCTTGTAGAGGCCACGATTCATCATGCGACTCTGGGCGTGAACTGGAAAGATTTAAACTCTGCAAAGAAAAAAAATACCACCTTTTTTTTATTGCTAGTTCGATATACTAAAAGTGTAGGTCCATTGTGTAGGTGTCTGTTCACTCTTCGCGCCGTCAGTCACGCGCGTGGTCATTTGCGTGTCTCGCGCGTTTCGCCCAACGGACCTAGAAAAAAGAGGGACTGCTCGAAGTCTTACTGGGTGCCTATAGAATTTTTTTAAGGCTCTACACTTTGAATTGTTTACGAAGTCGTTCACTGTTATTAGGGAGCTTTAGCAACGACGACGCCACAATTAATAAATTAAAAGCGAATTCGCATTTTTGAAACTTTGTCGCTATAATTCCAACTCGCTTACAATGACAAATGGATGAATTGCCTTGCAGTTGAGTTCTTGGAGACTGCACTCAGGTTAGAGAAAGGAATAAGAATTGATCGTCGTGTGTTACCATTCTTCATATAACATCGCATAACGTCGCGGTCGTGCCCTCACGGCAAAGTAATGTACCAAAAAGTGGTCACTTGTTTCTCCAAACAAACGAATTTCAGCTTTTGTCGTTCTCGTTGCCGTCGCCGTCGCTAAAACGCCCTATTACTATGTAACAACAGGACACAGCTAATTTTTACTCTAACCTCAAATACATTATGATAATATTAAGTTACATACTTTAAGCTGTAATAGTAGCGCTATATAATTTAGTTAGCAAACAGCAGTCACCACACGGTTAATATGGTTGTACATCCATGACGTACCTTTGACACGTGTTCTATGGCCCTAATCCAAGGCTTGAGTGGCTCCTTTTCCAGCATTTGACCAGGCTCACAGCAAAGGAGCCCTCCTGCCAAAGGTATGTAGTGACCACAGTCATGGTGCCTACACGACCACTTTTCGTGTCGTTCGCAGGGCTTTGTCGCTTTTCCCATGCACACTGTGCATCGTGCGCACAATGTATAGGACATTGAATGCAGCCAGTGACACTCCTTTCGTAGCTTTTCCAAGAATTTTTTCAACTGGCTACAAAAAAGGAAGAAGAGATTTCAAAGAGGGATAGGAAGCTTACTAAATAAGCTCTCTGCATCACTTGTAAAATGTACTATATACCTAATTTTTAATTCTTATGAAAATTATTGATTACAGAAGTAAGAAACTTTCCTTTTTAAAGAGAAACTAGGCGTTTCGTAACAAAGGCTATCAGCTCATTGTCTGGCAAAACGTCTTGCATTGTGCTTACGTTATTTATTTCTTGTTTAACTTTCCCATTGTGATGTGGGGCACACACCCGGCCCGCAGCAATTTTACATAAGATTAATTATGAGTAAAAGATAAAAGGTAAATTCTGCATCCGAGCCAAGTACCCATTAGGCCGGAGCCCATCCCAGTTTCAGTGACAGCTGCGAATGTTTCCGCACTCTCCCCTGAATGAAATGC